GCCATCTTTCCAGCCTCAGTCGGACGGGCGCGGAGACGCTTCTGGAAGGAACGCCGCGATGGCTGCGCAGGGAGAGCCCCAGGTCCAGTTCAAACTTGTATTGGTTGGTGATGGTGGTACTGGAAAAACGACCTTCGTGAAACGTCATTTGACTGGTGAATTTGAGAAGAAGTATGTAGCCACCTTGGGTGTTGAGGTTCATCCCCTAGTGTTCCACACCAACAGAGGACCTATTAAGTTCAATGTATGGGACACAGCCGGCCAGGAGAAATTCGGTGGACTGAGAGATGGCTATTATATCCAAGCCCAGTGTGCCATCATAATGTTTGATGTAACATCGAGAGTTACTTACAAGAATGTGCCTAACTGGCATAGAGATCTGGTACGAGTGTGTGAAAACATCCCCATTGTGTTGTGTGGCAACAAAGTGGATATTAAGGACAGGAAAGTGAAGGCGAAATCCATTGTCTTCCACCGAAAGAAGAATCTTCAGTACTACGACATTTCTGCCAAAAGTAACTACAACTTTGAAAAGCCCTTCCTCTGGCTTGCTAGGAAGCTCATTGGAGACCCTAACTTGGAATTTGTTGCCATGCCTGCTCTCGCCCCACCAGAAGTTGTCATGGACCCAGCTTTGGCAGCACAGTATGAGCACGACTTAGAGGTTGCTCAGACAACTGCTCTCCCGGATGAGGATGATGACCTGTGAGAATGAAGCTGGAGCCCAGCGTCAGAAGTCTAGTTTTATAGGCAGCTGTCCTGTGATGTCAGCGGTGCAGCGTGTGTGCCACCTCATTATTATCTAGCTAAGCGGAACATGTGCTTCATCTGTGGGATGCTGAAGGAGATGAGTGGGCTTCGGAGTGAATGTGGCAGTTTAAAAAATAACTTCATTGTTTGGACCTGCATATTTAGCTGTTTTGGAACGCAGTTGATTCCTTGAGTTTCATATATAAGACTGCTGCAGTCACATCACAATATTCAGTGGTGAAATCTTGTTTGTTACTGTCATTCCCG